AGTGTTGTACACACCTCGAACACACTTCTATGGGACCAATTAGGCGCTGTTTTGCTTGAAGAGGGGCATTTTGTTCTTGCACTTTTCCTCTGCTAGCTCCAGTTGAACTATAAACTCTTAGCAAGACTAAACGAAGCTCATGCTATTACATAGCTTTATCGGACTTTGCAGGTCTCCGCGAGAAGCCTCAGCTCGTTTTCTTCAGCAGTGACCGATGAGGAGGGGTACTGACAAGAGAATCGTATTTGCCGCGCTGATGGGCGTCGCGTGCGACGTCGCGCCCGCAAACGACGATGGTTCCAGGTCGTAGATGGCGACAACAGGCAATGTAGAACCGAAAATAGTCATAAATGTCTACAGTTTCGTAGCCACGTGAAAACCGGTGCTCCAATCGACAGGCTAACACGAGTTAAGGAACGCCGCGCCCATCGCCGCGCGCGCCGGAGCGGCAAATTACGATTCTCTTGGCCGTTTCCCAATGAGGAGCCAGTCAGCTCCAACAACACGAACTGCGCCTACCAATCATCTTTCAACAAGCAATCTACCCACCTTTTCAGCGAGTTTCTCCATTTTTCGTACGTTCCACCATAGATTCAATACTTCACTGGTTGAGAAATCCCTGGAAGCAAGAGGTACATCAGACAGTTTTCCAGGAAACCTTCACTGTTCTGACTGAGTACCATATGCTTTTCATAGGGCGGCTGTTAGTGTATGGCCTCCATCCGGGCGTTCCCAGTTGTGCCCATTTTATCCCATTCGAATACTGTGGGATTGTTATGAGACCGAGTTCCTCGATTAATTGCAGGATATTTCGTTGCTCATTGCATACCCATGTACCTTAAGAAGAAAATATGTGGTAAAAGAGATGGAACGTCATTGAAAACATCAAAAATAATTAACCTCCAAGCTCAGCTTTTAGTGAGCCACCTCTGGCGGCTTTCATAGGGACCGACAACGTCCTTCCTCCGACGCGTTCTTTAGCTTCAAGAACGAGTACCTGATTGCAACTCCATTCACTCCATTGATGACAGCTGAGCCAGAATCGAACAATTTCAATATTTTTGAATTACCTCCTTCTAGTGATACTTAATGCATACTATCCACTTTCGAAAGCTTATTGATTAATAAATAATTAATCCAATAATTAATCGCTGCTCAAAGTCATTGTTTGGGAGGGTCAGTTATTCTTTTGAAGTAGTATATTTAAAAATTGTGAGCAATATAGCCTGGAAGAATATCTTCTTCGCCGCTCATGATGAGGCCTGTGATTTAGGCTGGGTCCCTAGTAGCAGAAAAAAATGGATTATGGAGCAACAGAGTCGATTAAAAATAGGGTTCCTCGACTGTTGAATTCCACAAGCAAAATAAAGCAAAATTTAAAGGGAGCGGATATTGCAGCAAAAAAATTGCATGAAAAATTGCATGAACGGTCAATGTTTGAGCTACCCGGATGGAAGTTTCGATGGAGAAAACATAATAGTTTTAGCGCCGTGTAGTTCGCGTTCCAGTTGAGCACTCCTGGCAGCAACTCTTAGTCCGGCCAAACCTGCACCGACCACGATAACGTCATAATCAATGGAACTTTCATCTGATATGTCGATGCTCATTTCCTGAATATGCTCTCTGCGACAAAAAAAAAACCTAAAAATAAGTTACCGTAAAATACAAAAATTAGAAAAGAAAAACCAAATGAAAATATTAGGTTGGACGAAAAGTCCTGCGTCACTTCGAACAAATTTTTGCACCAAATTTTCCTTCGCTAAAAGACAGTTCCAATCTACAAGGTAATCACCATTAATGACTAGGACTGGTGCTCACCTTTTGCACAGCTTTTCATGTTCACTCTTATGGAATCATGGCAAGTAAAGAAAAAAGGACCTTAGTTTTCGATTTGAACGCCTCGACTTTTCGTATCATTTCTTGGTTTCTCTGAAGTGCGGTAGGGATCCAAAGGGGGTGGGCTGAGCGAAAAGCAACCCCTGCCATGGCAAAGCTATATCTTTCCTCAAGACACGTAGGTGTTATCTTCCTCGACTACGGCTGAGTGGCCCTACAAGTACTCATGAAATGGGATAAGTCGAAAAGTACCTCGATCTCTGAAGGACTTTCAATCTTTTGGAAACTTCCTTAAAGTCATGATATACCATTTGCGCAGCCGAGGACCCAGAGGAGCAGTCTCCACTAATCAGGGATAAAAACATCTAAAATGTTTTTTGGTTTTTTTCTAGAAAAATTCAATCAAAGTGTCGCAGGACTTTTCGAACAACCTAATATACGTAGCTGGTCCATGGAGATTGAAAAGGAAATGGGTTAGAAACACAGGGAGTTGGATACGAGGGATCGTTGATCGGAAAATAATAAAAAAAAACAAATATTGGAAGGAATGCAAGGAGTAGTAATATCCTTGAAATGAAAGAATGATTAATTATCATGCATAATGGGTAATTTGACTTCTACAGATGCTTATAGTATGGAACTCGCATCAGCCTGTGCGTTTCATACTTCGCGACTTCAAGCTGTTCCAGTCGTGCAGTTGAGGAATCGCACCTACCCGGGGAACGATTTTGAAAGAAAAAGTATAATTCGACTACCTTCGAGTTGTGCTGCTTGGTTCCGACCCTAATTCAATATCCCTCCTACCAACGAAAGCTTGAACTCTTTCACTTTCCTACCACTTTTCTGATATTTCTTTCCAAAATTCTCCAGTTCTTCCGCCTTCCCAAAAATCTTCAGTTTGCCCCAAAAAACTGCAGTCAAAAAAGAGGGGCACGTGAATCAGCACCCGTGAAACGGGAAGAACGACAAAAAAGTCAGTACGAGAAAAGTCAACACTAAAAAAGTTCCAGAGGATCTTTTTTCAAAGGGATTTGCAAAGGCAGAACGAAACTCCTTCCCCTGCGGTCCCGCGGGGGCCAAAATTACCCGGTGGGGGTAACTACAATCAGAGTGGCTCTCTAAGTGAACATTCGACGCGAGAGCTTACCTGTGGTTAGTAGTATGTGTGCGTAGGTTCCAACATTAAAACTCATAAATGGGGGGATGGCACTCACTCGCTAACGGAGAGGGTCACATTCATCCTCAAGAGAAATTCGCCCGATTGCTGACTCCTCCACCTCTAGTTGGCAGAGCGGCAAACTTATATTAATTTCTGATCGTTGATCAGAAGTGCTACTGTGCCCTTCCCCCCCTCCCCCTCCCCACCCCCGTGGAGTTTTAGAGAATATTTTGTAAGAAGGACAGTAGGCTGTGAAATGAGGTCGTCTGGAAGGAGGAAACACGGAAGGAGAGGGTCGTAGGGGTCGTGAGGTGCTGTGACTCTTGCTAGTTTCACGCCTGCTTGGACTGATAAACATTCGAGGGCTATTGATTAAAGTAGTTTAGTTCCTTATTTTCGGTATAACCAACCGTGTGAAATTCAAAGGAAATACAGCGGGTAATGGAAGTTCCATACAAAAAGTATCTGAAAGAATAACAAACTGAATGGTTAGCATATCAGTTGAAAAACCCGTTCTATTTTTCTCTGCACTACTGGCCACACACGCACGGACAAACACTACACATCTCACCGCCAATCGATTGGCCTGTGCAGAGAACGGCAGATAAAGTGGGGAAAATGGATAGGAATTCAGAGGGATGATGAGAAATTGCCATCGGAGGAGGGAAAGGAATTACTTTCCAATAAAAAAATACATCAGAGCAATTTCTTCGTGGATAAATGAACTGTTAAGTAAAGATTGAAAGGAATCAACGATTATATAGGAGCGACCCAAACGTTGCTCGAAACGGAAAGTGAGTGACCCGCAGACTACTGACCCAGGGCACATCGTTGTTGGGGAACCCCAACAGGGGTCGTATTTGGCCGCCAGGAGGGGGGGGGTCGTATTTGGGCTGGGAAAAATTTATTTTGATAGTTGATTTTTCTTCCTTCCACGGGAAATGGGTGGGGACGTACTTGGACATTGTTGGGAGGGGGGTCGTATTTACGTTTGGAGCGGTGGTTGACTTTTTGTGATTTTCCTGTTTCAAGCGTACCCCCTCCGCTCGCTGGATTCGATGAGGAGGGACAGAGGCAGAGTTCTTACCACCCCCCCCCCCCAAAAACAGAGGGGGCGGGAGATCATAACAGATTCGGATAAATCCCCAACCAGATGATGTGCCCAAATGAGACCGAGCATTTGGACAGCTTACCTCAATTGTGGAGGTGGGCTGTTTGGCGACAGCGGCCTCCTCCCATCCGCTGGTACCAACGATCAAATCACTATAGTTTCGCTTGAACCCTAGCCAGATTACGTCCTCGAGCTGTGTTTAGAATTCTGCTAAATACGAACCACCTTTTAAAAAATCCTACCAGTACTACCCCTTCCCCCAAAAAATACTGAAATAGGAAAAGGAGCACACACTTGAATTTTGATGGTTTCCGCAAAATTGCGGGCTGGCGCTAGACTTCGCTATCTGCCATGGTACTGGAGCAAGCTGATTCGCGATATCTTTCCAAAATAAGCCAGGAACATCATCGGAAGCAACATTTTTAGATCCATAACTTATCGAGAGTGGAGCTGACCTAGAGGAGAAAGCAGATTGGGGATGCCTCTGATTTGATAACTATTTCTTGTCTTTAAGCGATTCCACACATTTCCTTTTCAAGGAAATTTTCCTATTATGAAACCGCTGTTGACATTCAGCGTTAACTAGGAGTTTCATTTCTTTGAACAGCCATGAGTTCCTTCAAATGTGACCTCTAACCAAAACAGTGCTGGAATCTCGAAGACTTCTGCTTTCTGAATAGCACCTCACCTTTCCCTTTTGCTTTTCCCGTTCTGTTTTTATTATGACCATTTTGGGCAACTCGAAAAACCCATCCCTTGGCCCAATACTAGTTTCACTTTGTCTGAACCCGTAGTATGCCTCTAGATAACACCTTCTCGTCAAAGCCATCGGGCAGCAGTCCATTCGGCGATCAAATTAGATCAATCTCTTTAGATGCGACCATGCCATAGGGCTTCCCAAGGACGTATTGGAAATGTGTAACTCTAAATAGGAAACACTTTACTCGTTTGAGCACTACTCTCCTACGTTCAGAAATCAAGAGTACACTTTCATTTGTTTATTAGTATGACACCGTTGCGGGTGGCCATCGTACATCCTGTCACTACCCGTTCCTCAATGAGCTTGCAACCTGGCTCTGTCCTCAGGTGTCCTTCAGGTGTTCTTCGCAAAAATAATCATGAAGAATTTTTGTCAACATCAATGACTGTACAACATCGACTATCACTGCTATTCTCATTCTTTTCAATGAGCGGAATTACGACCCCCCCCCCGTACTTGACGGCGGAAAACGACGCCTTATCGTTGATTTCATAGCGACCGGGCGTGCCGATGCCGTGTTAGAATTAGGATTTACCATGGGACGTGCGGACAGTAAATTGGTATCATTCGTCTGGGAGGATCAGAACAGGAAGCAGCGTCTGGCCCTCGCATATCACTGAATAGGTCGCATCGCATTCAATAGGCCATTACAATTCCGCATGGAAGTGATAGAATGCCTGTTGTATCCAGAAATAGGGTTGCTCAGCGGCGAAAGCTTTATCCTTATCCTTTTCATATCTATGCAGATGATTGCATGGTGCCTGAAAACTAATTAGAAGTTAAGAATCCACAAAAAAAGGCTATAGGAGAAAATAACTGTAGTCTTCCCAGAACTTCTTCGAGGCGCCGTTGCGCGCTGTGTGACAACGCAGCTGTTCTTACTTTTCAAGTCTAATCTAGAGACAGCTTACGTTTCCGTAAGGCTCTTCGTGTAGAATTAAAATTTGCACCTAAGCGAACATAGCGCGTTAAGTCCTTTTGCGTCCTACACCATCTCCGCCGCATTTTAAATCACAGTGATTCTCGCTCTTATTTAACTCAGACTTCTCTAAAATAATCATGAATGGACTAAAAATCGTGGGATAAGTCCTCTAACATGACCACGGTATGTGAGCTGGCGCTGAACTTCTGAAGACGCTAGCAGTTTGCTTGGTGGGAAAAGAAATATCTGTGAATAACTATAACTAACTGAACAACAAAAAGAATAACATTCGCAGTCGTTCCATTAAATCCTCTCTCAATCACTGCGTGATTCACAGAGTCATGATGATTCACGGCTCCCGGACCCACATGGATAAAGCTTTCATGTGGGATAGTGCGATCCCTTGTCTAGGGTCCCCAAAGGGCTAAGACTCCAAAGAAAATTTTGCATGGCTAAGAAAAACGCTGTTGCTGTTCCCTTAATGTTGAGCGAGATTTCAGCGAAATTCAGCTTTCCCAGCCGGATTTTTAATTTAGTTTTTAATCGGCAGCCAGCTAGTGATGGAGCCCTGCCTGCCGCGAACTGCCATGTCCATGTATTCGGTTTTTCACAGCAAAAAGACTGAAATTAAGTGCCATTCGACGTAAGTATAGGAAAAAGTACAAGAAGTTGACAGGGATTAGTAATAGAAGCCAACAAAAGTACATAAAGTCCACCTCCCGTGAGCCGAAAAACCTTCATTTCGTGTAGAGAAGAACTAAGGAGTTGGCACGGCGAAAGATTGAAAGAGATGGCAAGCAGAACGGAGACCTTTTCATT